GGTGCGCACTGCAGCGCAAGACAGGAATCGATGGAGAGCACATGTGGAGGCCCTATGCGCCAACTTGGCGCCAGGGGACAGGTGAAGGTGAAGGTGAAGTCCGTTTTAGAGAGAGTCCGAATTATAGAGGTTCTTTTTAGAGGAAATGTATAAAAAGTTTGTCGGTACATAGGAAACTGTCCGTATTAGAGAGTGTCCGCATGGAGAGGTTCGACTGTATTACTTTTTGTTTCGTCTCTTCATTGTTGTTGACACCATATTTAAGAGTACCTTGTATGCATATTCTAGTCTGATGATGGTATAGTTCTCACCCAAATATAATTTCTAGTTTTGCCAATTGTTGTCTGAATTTCGACACAAATATGAACATTCTCGGATTATCATTCATTCTTTACGAGTATTTCACTTTCGACTTTAATTTGCAGCGGCCACCGTGGCCATCACCTCGCTATATGTAAGCCAAGTCACGGCCGCATTAAGTTTTGATCCTGATTGGTTAACAACAACAACATGTTTGCTCCAATTGGTTCAGCTACAGATGACTGCCATCGCAACACAATTTTTTTTAAGAAAGAAAAAGAATTAACGATAGGATCCCTAGATCTCTAAATCCTTTAGAGAACTGGGTTTGAAGTAGAATAACGATTAATTAATTCACGGTTTAGCGTGCATCACCGAGTTTTATGGAATAACTTAGATACTACGTGCGCTCTCATTGGTCGATAGGTGTGTTTACATGAGAGTATTTAAATACGGTTGGGACGTTTTATATTCGTACATATTTTTGAGAAATATTTTATAAAGGACTTTTTCGATGTTAACATAGCCTCATGTAAACACTTGGGAGTAAAGGAGAATTCTCGAAAGTTATGCAAACCCGCAGGTTTGCATAACTCTCTCGAATTACATAAAGCTATGTATACACGGAAAAAGTACTCTATTGCTTAAATGAAGCACATTGGAAGGTTGGAGAGGACGAAAGCTTTTGACAAAGTTTGAAAAAATTCTGTACGTTCAGAGCCACTTTAAATTTTCAAACTTTAAGGTAGGCCAGCTACTTGGCAAAAATAAACGCAGCCTCGATTTATATATTCTATTTTTCGTAAAGTTGGTATATTTTTTTGTTATCATTTCCGACATTATCAAATAACAATGCAAAATTCCCAGTTAACCAAATCTGTCACAAACCTTTAAACAATTCCCTCATATAACATATGAATATCTATATAGTAAATTTTATGAAGCAAATCTTAAAGCCAAGGAAAAAATTGTAGCCATCGTGTATGCCATCATAATCATCATATCAATTGTGTGATGAAAGTGAAAAGCGCGTAATTGTCGCCTCTGAAATTGCCGGCATTTGTGTAATCTGCTCTATTTGTTCTTTTAGTCGTGGATGCCCAAAAAGTGTTGCGACGAATATTTTAAAGTGAATTGCAGCTGCGCTGATTTATTTCAAATGTGCCTTCTCGCCTGCACAAGGCTTTCGATTTCATTCTACTCTTCCGCTTTTTCAAGAGTAACTCGTGGCAAACGAAATCCTTGAATTCAAATTTGCGCGCTCAATCTTGAAGTGCAAGTTCTTAAAAGTCGATAACAGTTTGGTAAGGTGAGTACTGTTATATGAAACTGATGCAAGGTTAGCTGATAGTAATAATATCTAAAATGTTTCAAGCAGTTATTTCGGTACAAAAGTGCTCAAAGCATTTTATTTAAGACATTGTAAAAAGCAGGCTGTAGTGAAAGAGTGTTACCGAGTAAAATCGCGCATTCCAGAACGAGGCACATAACAAAAAGAGGACTTTACAAGACCTCCATTCGTATACAATATACGTATTATTTTACCCTATGTTTTTGCTAAATTTACTTTTGGTAGGCTTTGTGCAATTTCAACAACCGAAGTGAAGGGTTCCAATCTTATCTTGAGATCAATGTATGATATAACTAATGCCATTTGGGGAACAAGGTATTTAAAGGAGCTACGTCACGGTTTGCGCATCTTGAAAAGTTTAGCCTAAATTTTTCAAGTTTGTCGTTTGTAATCCGTGTTAATCTTCTGCATCCTTAACCATCCTTGATCCTTTGTGGTTTATTATTATCTCTTTGGTGTTTTTCTATCTTAATAAACTACTATTTTCATGTTTCCTTCAATTTGAGAGTAATTCTGTACATGGTCAAAAATTCAAAATACGGTGACTGAACAGTCTTGCATTTAGGACCAGCTTTACGAAAGACACGAGTCATACGTTTTCTTTACATGCTTATACTTTCAACACGACTTTTGTTCTGGTCCTGTAGAAACTCCATGAAATCAAATGTTATGATTTCAGTTATTTCAAACAAAAAGTGTGTAATGTTTGAGGAAGCCACCATATAGGTTTATTAAAAACAAACGGAAATGCCATTTTTTAAATTAGTTCTGGCTTTTAAAATGATCTTTCGAGGTTTTTATGTGTGGGTGTCATTCAGTAGGCCAGAATCATTAATTTAAGTTGATTCAGATCCTTTCGAAAACAGAGGCAAAAATTAAGCAATTACTTCAGCTGATCTACTCTTCCCACAGTTAATCCATCCTGTTCATGTCATATCTTAAAGGAGCTCAGTCACGGTATTTTGAGTTATTTTGGCCACATACAAAATTACCTTTAAATGGTAGGAAACCTGAAAATAACAGTTTAATAAGATAGAAAAATACCAAAGAGATAATGGTAAACCATAAAGGAAACGAGGATGGCTAAGGATGGAGAAGATTGACACGGATTTCAAACGATGAATTTGAAAAATTGAGGCTAAACTTTTCAATATGCGCAAACCTTGACTGAGCTCCTTTAAAGAAAAAAAACAAAACAAAACATAACATAATCAGAGCTAGCGCAAAGTTGACTCAACCACTTTATTTCACTTCCAATAGTATAAATGAATACAGTCAGAACGACAATTACTCCGGGAAACCACACTTTATTTTGGTACTCAAAAACGTTTTTAAAAATGGGATGATTAAATCATTTAGCAAAAAGAAGTTGTATATTATATAGTTACTAATCTAACTAAAAATACGGAACTCGACTCGTTGATAACTATTGATATTAGACAAGGAAACAGTGATAGGCAATAGGCAAAGAAAGAGTCCAGATACGACATGGCGAAACTTGGACTGAATTTGTGGATAGAATAGACTGAGTTTTGTGACATTACATTGGAGGTATTGTTGAAGATTGATAGCACCCCTTTAAATGTTAAGTGCATCATTTAACTTTAGTGGTGCTAATTTGAGATCTTTTTAGTGTTTTGAAGCTATAGAAGTGTTAAAAATCATAAGCCCGGTATAGAATTACGATTTCTGCATGTTTATTTAGTTTATCTATGGGTTGATATTTCTGACATGGATTTAGCGAGATAATCATATCTTTGGAATGGTTTTCCTCCAACCTGTTTGTCGCATTTGTGGGTTGGAAATAGATAATACAAATAAAAACATTTCATCTGTGCTTCTCCTTTTGGATAGATACAAAGGAAGAAGTTACGGATATGATCACCGACTTCCGTAATCAATAAGTCTTGCCTAATTAATGTTTAGACTAATATTTGTTAAAATTTTGATGCTTAGGTTTCCTTTGTGCAGCGTTTCATACATAGTGCAACAAAATGGCGAACAATTCTCAATCAACTTCCCAGGATCCTCTTGGTCGGTCACGTGCTGAAATTGGCATGGAAGTGACCTTGGCCACTCTAGTGTGCCTCGCTTCCACGCTCGGCAATTTGCTGGTTGTTTATGTCATCAATAAAGACATCCGACTCAAGAGCGTCACAATCATTTTCATTCAAAATCTGGCACTGACTGACATCTCCATGGCAACGCTACACATGCCATTTTGGGTAGTGAGTGTGTACACGGGAACTTGGAATTTTAGCGAGTCGTGGTGTGAAGTCTCCGCATCAATACAGTTCACCTTAGGCATGGCTTCCATTCTCAACATGGGTCTGATCGCTCTGAACCGATACATAAGAGTCGTAAAACCAGCTCTGTACAGCAAGCTATTCGCAAGTGATAAAAAGGCCAGGTTTTACTGCCTTCTTGTTTGGCTGATTGCCATGCTTCTGGCCACGCCCCCTTTGTACGGATGGGGCAAAATGGCTTATCATTCAAAATTCTTTGTTTGCACGTTCAACTGGCAAGTCAAGTACATATCATACGCCATATTGACCGTAGGCGGAGTCGTTAATGGGGTGACAACCGCAATATTTTACTGCTACTACAAAATTTATAAAACCGTGAAAATAAGCACGCAAAATATGAACGCTCGTGAGGAAGAGCATGGCGTCAGTACATCGAATTCTCGTCCCACTGACATGAAACTTTTGAAGACCAGCTTCACTGTTGTTTGTGTCTTTTTGATGACCTGGGGGCCAGTATCTATTGTCGTTATTATCGAGTCTGCTGGTTGCCTAATTCCAAGGGAGGTCTGTATCGTGGTTATTTACCTGATGTTCTCGAGTAGTTTGGCAAATTCCATTATCTACGGAATTATGAATCCGCAGTTCAAACTGGCGTTTAAAAAAGCAGTAAGTTGCGGTCGTTATTGCAACGAAAATATAAATCGCAGTCATACAGAGAATCGTACGAGAACTACTGACGCGAATGTTCAAGAGGAAATGGGAAGACGCTGTAGCGTTCATCAGTCTACTTTAATAGTCGAGAAGAGTGTTTAATGTTTAAACGTACAATGTATGGTGTCACAGACGTGTAGAGGAGTATTTTTGACGAATTTCGAGGTGTTTGGAACTGTGGTCAAACACTGTCTTCAGTCTTTGATATATCTTCTCAATCGAAACTAAAACTAAGGAGAAAACGGAGAAATAAAATCGTAAAAATCTACGCTACTTTAATCAGATATCCATCTACCGTCACGGTAATGATTTCCTTTGTTGAATTATTAATGAGTTACAGAAAAACTAAAAAACCGCTAAGCTACATACAAAAAGCTATGCTGACAAAATCAAATGAGATAAAACAATTGATACATTTTTGCCGTGCAAAAAATTCCTCTCATATTAAAACGAAACCTTCAAGATTCAAAACAATTCTTGAATCTGATTCTAAGGTTATGAGGTTAGTCTATCCTGACGATTAGCACTACATCTGTCAGCTTTAGAAACACGCAAAAACCATTCAAGATTACGAAGTATGTATTCGAAGTGGGGAACCTAAAAAAATAATGAAAAATTTGTTATCGACTTCTGAGGAACTCGCAAATTATGAATCTAGGGTTAAATGGTAACTTTCAGTATATGTAGTTTTAAAATTTGCATTTTTGGGTTTTGAGAAACAGATTGCGGGCCAATGGTCTTCGGGCAATATATTTTCTTCTCCAAGGAGATCAGTACGCTGAACGAGTTTGCTCAATTTATCATCTCCTTTACGCTGTAATTTTCTATCTCTTTAGTTGGGACTATCAGCCGGAAAAACGAAAGCTACATCAAAGCTTTCTTCTAAAAGCGAAATCCAAATTAGCAAATTTTGACGCAACACCCCTTTAACATTCGATAGATAGAAACTCGGGCACATCTGCATGTTTTGAATATCAAGCCCATGATATTGACAACTTTCTTAAACCACTGATATTTCAACATTGAAACAGAACAAAAATTACTGGGAGAAGGGTTATTAAAATTGAGCAAAAGACAAAAAGTCGTTTTATGGGTAAAGCTTTTGTTTAATCCGGAGGTGAACTAAAGCTAAAAGGATATAGAGAATATTTTTTCATTGCTAAGGGAGTTGTAGGCGAAAAGTTTCTGGGCTCAATTTCCGTGAATCTCTAAATCTCTTGTTGCCATCAGGGCACACTGAATGAAAAACAAATCATAGAAATTAAACAGCCGTGACCTTATGTCACCTTAATTGAAAACACTTTCCAAAAAACATATTTCCTTGGCTAAATATTTGCAGTGAACGTCTTTAAGGACGTGTTGGATAGTAATTAAATATGGCAATTGACAACTCAAAGCATTGGCAATTAAGACGTGAGTCTGGCGATATATTTATGTCTCCCAGCACGTCAATCATTTCTCTACTCCAGACACGTCTGAGAGGGTCGTCTGGGATTCGAACTGATGACGTAACATTACAAAAGTCCGTGGTTTCTGATTGGTTTTCACTTGCGCGGGAAAATTCAAAACCGAGTGAAAGTTTTATCAGGGTACTTATTCAGCTTTACTGTTAAAACTGTTATCAACGAAGGCACTGTTACACAAACGAATGACAGTTTTCTATAATTATAAGTGTCATCAAGTTTAAGTCTTGTTTTTTGTTTCACAATGAAATCACTATTACTATAAACGAAAGTAATATTTCATAATTAAGTAAAGGGTACACAACCTAGTTAGAAAATTTTCACAGTTGTTTATTTATAGTCTTCTTGCAGTTATAAACACAGAGACAACACTCATACTGTTACGTCATTTTTTTGCATGAACTTAAGAAATTAACTACTTTTTTTGACAGTCTGCGATTAACTTCTTCTGCCAGCGGAAGGATCGAAACATGCATCGCGCGTCTTTCCCGCTAAAATATCCCTAATATTGGGAGAGGTTTGTTCGATTGACCAATCAGAATGCTGAAAAACTAGTGACGTCAATGAGGATGGCTGAACGCTAGTTTTGCTTGTAAAGTAAACAAACTGCAAGCCCTGCTTGTTTGCCAGTTATTTGCTATCAGAGACAATTAAATTGCATCCCTCTAATTCTTTTGTTATTAATTTTGTTTGCGTTTGATCATTTTAACGTCCTAGGACAATTGCCTATCCAGGTTATACTGTAACACTCAGTTCCCAGGTCATATTTCATCTGTTAAGTTAACCATTGCGAGTACTTCAGTCATGAATTTAGCCATGGTCCCGAAAACGTCGAAAGAACGATCATTTCAGTCTCCCTCTTCTTGAACAACGCCTTGAAAGCGGGTTTGAACTGAGGATTCAGAATTCCATATACCACAGGATTTAAGACACAAGTTAGGAACACGAGATAACTCGATATCAGTAGTGGTAGGTCTAAGCCTTGTCTTCCAGCAGAAAGCAGGATTACCAACACTGCTTTCGGAAACCAGCACAGGATAACCACACAAGCGATACCGAGCGTTGTGTGAATACACATGTTCTCCGCGTTCTGTGCGTTTTGGCACGCGGCGCGATTCGCTCGCGTGCAGATCTGAATCCTATTTTTTCGGACAGTGTTGTAGATTTTGAAGTAGCACCAGCAGATTATGTAAGGTGATGGTTGTGTGGCTACCAAGAAGACCATGTAGGAAACATTTGACCCATCAAACGACCATTCAAAAGTACAGAGGGTGGATTGCGGATAGTACCTGTACCTCCCCCATCCATACAATGGCGGGCTACAGAGGACCAGTGGAACAATCCAGCACAAAGCCATTAAGATTCTTGGTCGGTTTTTCTTTGCGTAAAGAATGCTGTTGTACAACTGTGGCTTTACGACTTTGAAGTATCTACTGAGAGCGATAAGCAATAGGGAGTAGAGAGTAGCGTTGGCCATTACGAAGAACAGGTAGCCTGAAATACTGCAGATGGCGTCGCCAAAGATCCAGTGTCCTTTCACAAGGCTTGTTATCCACAGAGGCATAATGAGCAGTGTTTCACTCATATCGACAAAGCACAAGTGAGCAATCACCTTATTTGTGAACGTTTTCAGGCTAGCGTTTGTTTGAATTGCATAAAGAACGATAGAATTGGCCAGGATTGAGAAAACGCAAATAAGAACGGCAACGACCACCTGGAACACAATTTGTACATCATTGCGTCCCAATGGATCTCCGTTGATCGATGAATTGTGCGTTTCTCCCACTCTCATTGCAGACATTTAGCATTCAGTTTCTGTAAAACAAATTATAAAAGACCAGTATTAACAAAAAAATACTATTTTTACGATCATTACATTACGTTACTTGCAAAAAATTTCGGACGTTAAAATTTCGGACGTTCTATTTCGAACGTTTAATTTTCGGACACTTTTTATCTCATTTTGGACAAATTTCGGACACTTTGTTGAAACAGTGTTCAAGTCAATTTACGCCTAGAAAACTCTAATTAGACTAAAACTACATCTGTGATAATGATAGTTTTAAGCAAAAGGTTAAAGTCTTATATTAGCCACTGATAGTAAAATATTATGAAATAGAGGAGTTTCAAGTCTATTAAAGTGGTATTTAATCGTCAATCCAGAATTTTTAAAGTGCACGACAGCTAATGCATGACGGAAAACCGAAAGAAACAGCGTGCTGGAAGTAAATTGTTTCTGTAAAGGTTGCAAAATCTTTACCTTTCGTTGTATACATTACTTGCAAAAAATTTCGGAAAAAAGAACAGTGCCCGAAATTAAAACCGTCCGAAATTTTTATTTCGGGCCTTATGGGGCGAACTCTAGTTGAAACACGACTTGATATAATTTATGTTGCTCTCTCGTCGGTGTACTTGTAAAACCTTGAGGCTATAGTAAGACCTACCAATCGACAGTTTATCAGATGTTACATTCGTATGGGAAAAACCGTCGAAAATTTCAGTTATGATTAATGTGACAACAGCTAACGAGAATTTAAGGAAAGCATGCTATTGCACAGTCTAAAAACTAATAAATTCAATGAAAACATACCTACACTAAGGGAGGTTTTCCTGGTTAAAATCTTTTTAATTTCCAATGATGAATTTTTAAAGAATCTACAGTGATTGACATTAGCTTCAAATTTGAAACAAGGTACAGTGAAACTCTGTCTCACGGTCACCCCGATAATACGGCCACCTCGTTACCACAGCCACCTTATTCTGGCCTGGACAAAAGCTCAGTCAATCATTTTCTTATTTAACGAACCCCTTTAATACGTATACCCTGTTAATGTGGCCATATTTTTTTGGTCCGTTGGTGACCGGATTAACGGGGTTCCACAGTACATGCACAGAATAAGACAGGGTTGAATTACTGCACGAAATGAAAAGAATATCGTTTCTTTTATACAAGAACGGAACCGTATTTAAAGCAAGCTAGCTCTTATGAATACACTATGCTTGGCCCAAAGAGCTTTGTTGTTGCTGAGTTACTCAATTACAGTTCATTTGAGAGACTCCATTTCAATTTCGTCTAATTACGGATACTGTGGTGGTTTATAATTGTAATCGTCTCTCTCTATTGATATATTTTCCCTCCTCAATATCCTCGATAAGGTCTTCTATGTAATAATTAACGAAGGCATTGAAAATCTCTACTAATTACAGTTATTTTAAGAATTCCATAAAGCTCCTTGCTTTCAGGTTATTTGAAAGAAAAATGTTTGATGACACCGACACTCTTAACCCATGCAAAAACACCAAAACTTGTCCTTCTTTCGAAATAGCTTCAATATGATACGGAAAAATTCCAAACTGCTAATCCGCACGATTAAAATCTGCTGGGATTTCCCTCATTTTGAGGATTTGTCTCTCGCTGTTTCTGGTCACTGTCTGGTCAATGATAAGCTGGGCAAAACGCGGGCTCGTTTTTCCAGGGCTTAATCGTTGATTCGTTGTCCCAGCCAAATTTTAGGCCATTTTTGCGTTGGCAAACTTACAAACGGCTGAAACTGTTTGATAACGTTAACTTCAAGTACTCTCAATGTCATTTTAATTACTGAAACTCTTTAACATAAGTAAAGCACTTTAATCCATTATTTCTAACTGAAAAAAGAAAGATATGTTTTCCCTATTAACCACGGTTATCGCCTCACAGAAAAAACCGCTGTGTTTTCGTACTTTAAAATGTTTAATAAACCTTTCTCAATTTCGTAAACCAAGGAAAAAAACAGCTTAATGTCGAGGGTTCAATCTTTCACGAGGCTACAACAAACTGGTAGTAGTTCATAATTTATGATGCATAATTATTATGAAGCTACCAGTATAGAAATTATAGAGTTATTGGAATTTAAACATTCTGGACCAAAAATAAGCGATTAGGACATAGAGATTGCGACCTAAAGGAAACATTGTTTCACTCGGTATAAGTTTACCTCCATTCAGTATGAAACAAATTTAGCGAACTCTTTAAGTCCCTGAAAACACTCAAGTAAGTTAAATTCGAATGCACGAAAGTGCTTTAATTAGTAAGAGGTTTTTTCCAATTTTCAACATCAATTTGTAGAGCCATGACAATACATTGTTTTTCGAGGATTGATTAATATTATATTTTTTTGGTAAGGGCTGTTTTCATTTGAATAGTGGTTTACATTTTGTAAAAGAGTGGACTATTTTTCCTTAGTACGGGGTAAAAAAACAACAATACTAAAGTGAGTGTTCAGGCCTTTGAAAAACAGGTTGTTTTTTTTTTCTGTGCAAATTGATGAACGAAGGTATACTTTAATAAAAAAAATCTCCATAACGTCGTTTTTACATTAGCAGAGTCATTCTTTATTTTTTCTAACTTCCATTTTGTCAAACAGCACGTCCTAAATAAACTAAAAAATATATAGCTGATTTTTATTTCCAATATCGAGATCTAAATAAAGCGATTTTTGTTGTCTTTCTCTCATGTCCTGTAATCAATGCACACATTGAAATAAGACAGAATCCAGTATACTTTTAAGTCATCTCAGCACACACATAAAGAATTTTCCTCTGAAAGAATCATTAGGAAAAAAATACTTTAATTAAAATACTAATCAAGCATACATACGTTTTTAGAATCCTAATTTGAAAAACTAGACATATCAAATCACCATATTTGTATAGTAGTGTGTAATGTTTCCGTTGAGGCGAAATGAATTTAGAATGAAAACGAAACTTTCTTAGCAGAAAAAAAAATGGCCAAAATATATGAAGATTTTAGTTGGGCATAAAATCCTTTGCAAATTATGCTATGAACTATACCCCCTAACCACACTTATAGAGGTTAATTTTATCGATACATCGGCCTTTTGATATCTTTGCCATACTGAATATTGTCATTCAAATTGCGATTTATCTTATAATGTCACGGAGAATCAGTCGCTTTTCGCTTTTGAACTCTACATCAGAAGTTTTTACACTGATAATGACCAATCTTGACATTTTGAACGTTAAACCATTTACTCTCTACTTTAGGTATAGAATCGTATAGTCAAAAAGCCTATCCAGTAAAAAGCATATGTTTTTGCCTTTGTTCAAATGAATGTTGCATAATACTTAAGATGAAAGCACTCGAAATGAAAGATTAGCCAACCAAGGGAGGATGGCATGCATGGCTGTCTCAAAGAGATTCTGTATTAAATTTCGTAAAGGAAGCTTATTTTCAGATGGAAATTAGCAAGCCTCTAAACCTTCATATATTTCTAGGTTTTGTCTGGAGGGTGACATATATTGATTCTGTTTCTAAGTCGACCAGTTGAATGACTTCGCTACCTGCGACAGTTCCCAGTAAACCAACTGCCTAGAAAAACCCCCTTTTATTTGTATGGACTCACGGAGATTAAATGTAAAGCCAGTGTATGCATGGGGAAAACGAATTAATTAAAGAAATGCTTACGATGTTACAAAATGGTTTACATAGCAGCATCACCTCGCATTTTAGGTGAACATTATTATAAAGAATTAACCCTTAGGGCCTTACCTCTTTCCGTGGTTAACCAGTTCAAACGTGTTGCTTGAGGCGGTAAGATTATCCTTTGCTTTGCAAAACCGCTTGGTAAACGCCTAAATGGGTAGAAAAAATTTGACCATCACCCGAGAGGATGTTTCTGGTAGCTTAGGATAGCCTGTTTACCTAACAGCAGGGTCTAAAATATACAGATCAATTACTGTTTTGCCTTAATTATTCATCACACACGAATGTCCTCTTCTAAGACAATCGATTTTTGTCGACGACAGGAAATTTGAATAGGAAAAAGTGAATGATTTGCGCAAGACACAGTGAAATTAAATCGGAAGGTTCCAAATTATTGAGTGTGAAATGACAGAGAGTTGTGGCCATAATAGCAAATTGAAAACGCCACCAGTAGTTTTGACACCTGTTTTTAAGGTAAATACGATGCAAAATATGGCTTAAATGCGAGAAAGAAAGTAAATAAACCTCGGTTCTCTCTCGCGTTTATAATTACTTAAAAGTTTTTGTGAATATACACGATTTGACTGCCCTATCACAATGCTACTCTGTAAAGAAAGCGATTTTGGAAAGTGAAAGACAAGTATATTGACGAAGAACAAATATGTCAGAATTATATCTGAATATAAAGAGGAATTCTCACGTTTTTTCCTCCTTCCGTGATCTGTATCACGTCTTTATCAATATGGGGGCTTTCTTGATGAAGGAAAAGCTGTTAGATAATGATATATTCTTTTGACGGTGTCCTGAATTATTTGCATGGTCAGAAAATGTGATCTTAATTATTTTTTTCTTTTCCTCGGTCATTTTACTCAAAGAGCATTCGCTATCGTTATATTCTTGTGAAGATCATTTAGCACTTTATAAAACACACCCTCTGCGCTTAGCTGCATGTTTCCATGTAGATAACTCATACTTAGCTGCACGGCATGTTGCGGGCATCATTGATCAGTGAATATGAACATTTTTTGATATCACGACAAAAATTCTCCTTACATATCTTGATACATTTTATAGTAACCAGATGGGAGAATTTGATCATCGATCTAGCACATCACCTTCTGGGACCAGGTTGTAAAATCTACATGTCGTAACTGATTGATTTCGGTCGGTTTGTGAGGAGAATAAAATTAACTATTGATTTATTTAGGAGCTTAACAGTTTGAAATGACTAGTAATTGCATTGGCTGTTCCCTAGAGCCGAAATTTAAAAAGCTGTCGCAATTTTTTTCCGAAAAAAATCTATAAAACTGTTCAAGTACTTTATCAAGGTTTGTACGTAAAATTTGTCATTCGGTTACACTTATGACAACGATCAATCTCTCTCTAAATAGAAATATCAAAATGTATGAAGGCCGTCAAAGAGCTTTTGATTACGGTTAGCAGCAGAGCATAAGATAGTAATTAAAGCGCTTACTATGGAAAACGAGGGACAACTAAAACTAAATGTACAGTTAATTCTTTTTAGTAATCCTCGATCAGGCTGGATGAAAATGGAGGTTTAACGTATTCTTTACCGTTCAAATTACATGAGCCTTGCTTTACGGTATTTACAAATAAATTTCGAGTATTTCTCACAAGTTTGGTAAAATGGATATACTTTTTGATGAAATTACAAAGATAGACGTTTCGCAAACTGTTTCCGACCCAGAGCTACCACATTTATTCCTACCGTCATTATTCCGATTGTTTCAAAATGAGATCGACCGAGAAAACTGAACAATAGCGGCATTTTTTGCCCATAATTATACTGAAAAGATATTACAAATGCATAAAGATATCAAAACTGATTTTGAGCCAGCAAAACACATAATTCGAATCGATCTCCCCCCACAAGACTACAAATTTACAAGTTTTAATTTTCCGCGATCTAAGCATGTCTCCATATACTAATTATTTGTAATTTTAAATTATTTATCGCTTCATACGCTAACCTTATTCAGAAAGTTTTTTTGAACAATTTTTCACTCGGTTAATTCAGTTTTAGGGACTGTAAAACTGTCAAACTTAACACCTAATGATGTGATAAAAAATACATTAGACACACGCTGGGTTCAATAACCTTAACTCATTAATGATCAATAAAAGGGGAGACCAAAATTTTAATCAAAATTTGGCTTTGAATATCAGATTAATTTCGTTCAATTTTAAGAAGGTATGAAACTTCAGAACGCTTTTACTTTTGTGATGTTGCAATTTCCTCGCGTTTTTTAGAAGACTAAGAAATTTTGCTCTTCTTTAATAAGGATAAATTGAACATTTGTGATCAAAGAGTTAAAGGTTCTTTTCCAGATGAATACACCTTTGCTTTTAAAAATTTTGGTGAATATCTGGGGCTACATTTTGGAAACAGAATAGAACGTCTGCACTAATTACTGAGTGTTGCAAATTGTTTAACATACTGCGATTATTGAACTTACGGTTGGAACTTTCGTTAAAGCGAAGAGTTTGACGACGTAGGACAAGGGATCACCGGTGGCCGACAACCGACGACTGACGTCGATTAGCAAATGTGTTTGCAGAATTTGTTTACAGTTTAAGGACGGTGCCTACTAAATACAAAGGTTTTTGCGCCAGGTTAGGACCTTGCGAAAAAAGTAGATCTTTGCAAGGGCTATCGGAATCCACAAAGAAAAAAGAGGGTAGCCACGCATTTTTTCGAGATAATTAGCCTTGAATCTCAACAAAAATACCGACATCAGCATTTTTCTGAAAATAGAAGGAGAGGATATTTCTTCACAGCTTTCTTTAGAATTCGCCTTTACATACAGAAAAGCAAACACATTTATAAAG